ATGAAATCAATCTCTTACAAATAAATAAATAAAATTGATAAATCTTTCCTCTTTAATAACTTGAGTTTTTAATGTATTTTTATTTTTTTTAATTGTATCTATTATGTACTTAAATACTATTTTAGCTTCTAATCTATTATTCGATCAACTTGTTCGACCATGAGTAAAAAAAAAAAATCAAAATATCCCTGATTGAAATTAAAAAAAAAAACAAAAAAAATATTAAAAGTAGCATGACTGATAGATCCTATTTTTTTAAGCTTTTTATTTCAATTAAGAGTATTTTGATCAAAAAAATGTATTTATAATTGAAAAAATTGATTAGAAAAATAGATTGAAAACTTAAACATTATTTAGAAATATAATAAATGTTATTAAAAATATTTAAATAAGTTAAAAATTCAAACTATTATATATTACATAAAAAGAGATTTAGCTATTTATTCAAAATAATGACAACAGCTAATAATATGGCATCAATATTAAAGGTTTGAATATTTTCACCCCGATAAGGATTAATTATGAACAGCCATTTTTTTTGGTTCACTTGGAAAAACTTGGTCAGTAAAAAATATTTTATAGTTAAAAGAAAAAAATGTTGAAATAAGGAAAAACATCGTATTGTTCTCAAGATATGAAATTATTATACGAAACTATATATTGTAGTCTTTAAATCATGGACCATAATTAATTCTTGCTTTTTCCATATAAACTAAATACCTAACAAATAATTTCAAGTAAATTTTATTAATATAGTCAAATGAAAATAATATATTTTCTGCACATAAAATATTTTTCAAAAACAAGTTATTTTACATGAAATACAATTTGATATTATTACAGTTTAAAATTAATGATTTTTAAAATGTATTTGGATTGATCAAAAGACATCAAATAAAAGTTTTTTTTCATATGAAACAATATTTTTTAAAAATATCAATTTTAACCGCATCATAAAACACACATCATCAATGACAACATAGTGGGAAGGTGGGATACTATTAACTTATAAGAGTTCGGTGGAAAAAATCGAATCTGATAACAATAAGTTTTGATTCAAAATCATTTTAAGAATGTTAGAATATGATATAATTATTTTTTATAACCTGACATAACAAATTAAATTTTTAGAGTTGCTGGTTTATAGGATTTCTTTGATCAATTAGTTAGAAAGTCACGCAACAGACCATAGAAAACTATAAGATCAAGATTATCCGATCTATTAATTGTCATCTCACTTTAATCCAGATTATTTAATTGGATTATTCCGACAGTTGAACTCAAAAACATTTTGGACTTCAACTTCATAACTGTATATGTTGTATTTTTTGTTTTCCAAGCAAGGTTATCTGCAAGAAAACTTCAACTCTATTAGGAGGAGAAGCTCATCCACAATTTTGTCAACCCTTGTATCTCTTAGGTGTTATTTGATAATAAAAAATAACATAGTAGCAATAAAAATAAAAACTTTTATTCTATTTTATAAATATTGATTGAAATGAATGAAATGTGAATGGTAATGAAAAATGATAATAAAAATAAAAATTAAATATAGTTTGATTCATCTCGAGAGTCTGGTGAGAATAAAAATTAAGAACATTATAAATAAAAAAATATTCAAACAATTAAATATTGTTTTTATTTATTATGTATTAACTATTTCTACAACCATTATCATATGTATCTACACCTTCACCTTCACTTCGGTGGTGTTATTAAATTTTTAAAAATATATTATTATTATTATTATATTACTATTATCGGTACAATCTTTTTCTCCTTCTCTACTATCATTATAATCACAATCACTTTATTATTTTTACTATGATCATAGTTGATAAAATTATTTTTTTATTTTTTATTTTTTTAAAAAAATTAGATATTAAATATTTTAAATTTTATTTCAATTCTCTATTACTATTCTAAGTGCAGTATAAAAATATAAACGCTGCTTTGATTTTCTAATTTTTATTCCAGACCTTCTATTTTTAATAACCAACCGACATTAGTTCATAACTCGAGCTCCAAATGATTTAATTCTTTATGATTTATTAATAGTTACGTATGTTTTAGTTTTTTTTTTTTTTCCTTAGTGAGGTAAATATTGAAATTCTCATGTCTACAATTCGCTCAAATTACAATGTAATGTGAGAGAATTATCTCCCAATATCCATTTTTTTCCAATTAAAAAAAAAAAAAAAAAGGGGGGGGGGGGAGGTTTTATGATTCAATTTGCTAAGACCCATGGGTGACATGCTAGTAATCACCTGTGACCTTAGCTAATTCTCAAAAAAGTTGGGCTACAGAACACGAATTCATGTTAGCCGTTGATCTGGTGGGGTCCACTACTGAACCCCATTAATGAACGGTGTGGACCAATTATCTCGAAGACATTTTTATAATGCAGATTTGTACCTTTAATTAGAGGATAATTTATGAGCTTGTAACTTAACTCGATATTTTTGAACAAGTAAAAACGTTTAGGTCTCAAATTCACGCCCTATTTTTTTCATTTCAACTTTAATACATTGGATTCTAATCATTAAAAAAAAAGTTATCTCAGAATAATTAATCAATATTGCAAAAAAAACATTTCGATATGTTGTTGACTACACCATTCTTTCTTAGGCTTTGATTATATGTATTTTTGAAAAACACTGGAGAGGGCTTGATTTCTGGGTTAGATCCATAGCGGAGGGTAAGTATAATATATATACCTGGAATGAGCCCAACTCAAACCCAACTTATTGAAAGGCTCTAGGCCCGAATCCAAACACATTAAGCATACACAACAATGATGAGTTAATCTCAAAAAAAAAACAAAAAAAACAAAGCAAAAACAAAAAACAAAAACCAAAAAAAAAGAAAAAGAAAAGAAAATCGAGTGATTTGTTCAAAATAATATAAATTTTCATGAGTATTCAAATCTCAGACTGAAATTTTAAATAGCGGCAAAGTAAAATACGTTCTATTATTAAATTAATATTTCATTTTCTTAAAATTATATGTGTGTAATATAAACATAAATACTGCTAAATTCAACAATAAAATTATTATTCCCATCATTTTTTTTTCAAAAAATTACAAATACAGTCTTCATTAATATTTGTTATATAATAGTTATTTATAATTAGTGAAGAATGTGTTAATAATTGTCTATAAAAAAGTGATGGAAATAACAAATATATTAGTGAATTTAACACTATCCTATAAATATTTGTTTTTAGTTATAACAATCATTTTTAATATGCTGGTGTTTATTAGTTATCCATCTTCAATTCTACCATGAAATGACTTTGTTACAAAATCAAATACTCCTAGAAAAATATACAACATAAAAAAATACTGTAAATTAGAGGATACAATCTAATCAGGTAAAAATGGCAATAAAAAATGGTCACTAACATAGTCACAAATTAAATTTTTTTTAGACCACCAATGCTTTTGGTCTAGCCTTTTTGTACTATTTTGCTATTGCTCTTTGACTTTCCAGGAAATTGCCTCTTTTTTCTTTCTTTTTCTTCTTTCTTCTAGATGCCATGCTTTTTATTAGACTATAAAGTAGATTTATTCAGTGAACAAAAGTTGGTCGGAGAAAAAAATTGAAAAAAAGAAAGAAAGAAAGGACATCTTTATTAGATTATATAAATTTAATTAAAATTAGTTTAGTTAATTATTCAACCTTTTACAAGTCCTAAAATGGTAAAACATTTCAATTATTTTTTTAATTATTTTCAATAAAGTCTAGACGAAAGGTTACTATGGATAACGTTCAGTAATATTAAGGGCAAAATTGATAGAGGGTAACATTGTGAATGAGTTATTAGATAGGAGGTAATTTTGTAGTTAACCCAACAATCAAACAATCCCTTGACCATCTTTGATCAAGTTCATTCAGTAGTTGTTTATTAAAAAAGTATCACTTTTCCTAATCAAAATTTCCGACCTTGACTATTCTTTTCTTTTACTTATTTTTCAAAAAATAAAAATAAAGAACAAAATATATTTAAAACCATAAAATTGATGAAAGAACTAAATTATAAAAGGAATTGAAAACTTTAAAATTAAATAAATAATTTTAGTTTTAACAATTAATCAATTAATTTTATTAAGCCCCACAGATTAAGTTATAATTAATTCTATGTATTATGTGAAAACATTAAAATCATTCTCCAAGATTTGAGATAATTATAACTCGATCCTTTATTATTAAGATTAATTTATTAGTTCATAACAAATAATTAAAAAATAAAACAAACTAAAAATCATGTAGTCTCTTGAACAATTAATATTAACCATCCTCCATTTATAGATTTGTTTTCTTCAAAAACTACCTTCTTTCTAGATCAAATTATCAAGTAAATTATAAATTAATCTCTTTAGGTATGAAAAACAGAATTATTAGTTACTCATGTTTTAAAAGCTAATTACTTAACCTTTCTATTCATTTTATGTCTTTTCTAATTTATTTTATTTTTTATTGTAAAAAAAGATATTGTTGAAAGATTGATGAGATAAAAAAATATTTTTTAAGACAAAATAATATTTAATTAAGCATGACCAATACTAGTTAAGAAATTAAATATTTAGTTTTTGAAACAAGAAGAATTAATAATTCATTTCTCCAAACTAGAGGAATTATTTGTAATTTACCTATAAATTGACCCATCTATTTTATTTTTTTAATTTTGTGTTTTCAGAGATGAAAAACAAAATAAATTGAAGAAGGATAACTTACGGGTATGCTATATTATAAACAAATTTAAAGTATGGTATTAAATAAATTACGTCCAAAACTACAAGGACTAATTATTTAATATTATTTAACTACAGGGACTAAATAATAATTAACTCCTAATATTTTAAAATAGCTCATCAGTGTAAAACACACACAAAAGGCCCTAGACCGTCTTCCAGGGATTTCAAAAAAATTAAAACAAAACTATTCGCTTCCTCTCCAGTTGAACCACACTAACCTCGAATTTTCTGCTCTATCAATTATGGGTTCAGGTGCTTTTCCAATTTTATATTTTCAAATTCACTAAATTAGCAAAACCCAATATATAAATTGTGCTCTCTGTTTTTTTTTTTTTTGGATTTTTAATTGTTGCGAATATATTTTCAGATGCAGATATGGAGGATTATGGATTCGAGTACTCAGACGAAGAGCCTGAGGAACAGGATGTTGATATTGAGAATCAATATTACAATTCTAAAGGTTCTTTTGTTTTTCTGAATTTTTTTTTTTTTTGGGGGGGCGGGGGCGGGGGGAGGGGGTGGTGTCGTTGATTTATTTATTTGTTATTTGGTGGAAAATCTAGTGTTGTTCACTGATAATCAATACTGGGTTCGACGGTTTTGCGATAAACTGATATTCGATTATAATGCTGGATGAAGTTTATCTGTGAAAAGTATGGGGTTTCGTCCTTTGAAGTTGGGGTTGGATTTGTTTTGATAAGGAAAAAAAATTAAGAGAATTTTTTTTATAAAAAAGGTTAGCTCGGTAAAAATTTGGGTGCTTTTGAAGTGATCTTTAGGATGTCTTTGGGTATTTTTGGATTTAAATTAAGCAAGTGGGTTTCGAAGAAGTTTTGGAATGACTTTTCAGTTTTAAAAGGGTATGTGACTGAAGCCTCATGGGCCTGGATGCAGATAAACAACTGGTTACTGTATGTTTTGTTTTTTATCATTGTTCTATTTCCAATCATGATTTTTTTTTCTTATTCTACTCATACGTTCACGTATTATTTGTTATCTTGGTTGAACAACTTGGTTGCATGATCTTTATATTCATTAGTAGGTTTAATTAAGTAACATTGATGTAGCATTATCTGCTATCTTGCGATTAGCAGTCTTCATGTAGTCAATCATTAGTCGTACTCACAATGTTTTTGTATAATTTGTATCTGTCGTAATTTTGCTTTTCCTTGTTGCCAAACAAAGGTTTGGTTGAAACGGACCCAGAAGGAGCACTTGCAGGTTTTGCTGAAGTAGTTAGAATGGAACCAGAGAAGGCAGAATGGTGAGTTATTTCCAACTGTCTTGTGAATGAAATTGGATTTAATATTTTCTTCAGAGTGTAATTACTGAACTCTTTTGATTCTTCCATAATTACTTTGAGCATGTAGCTCTCCACTTTACCTTCACTCTCCTTCTCGTTTCAAATCAAATTTTGTATGGAAGCCAATCTTCATTAGAAGTGTAGAGGAATCCCATAGGCAAATCAAGGTTGCAAATGTTTTCCACAATTGGGGTTTAGGTGATATGGAAAATCAGCATAATTCTAAGTTTTGTTGATCTAATCCTAGCATGGTGTTACAACTAAACTAATGACATCCTATTGAACTAAGGTGTTTACTGTAGCTAGCAGACAAGTGGATGGATTGGCTAAAGATTTACTTGCTAAAAACTAATTAACCATGCATGATTTTACAGATGCATTGTGGTTTGAATATAACTTTGTAAGTGATATCCACTTTGAGAGTTAATTCAACTAGTATCCAGATTAACATGGGAGAGATTCATTTTCATCCAGAGACCAAGTGGGTTTCACATGCATCTGAGAGTGATATACAGGTGCATTTATGTCATGCATGTATGTATTCTCTCACTTAATATTAATATATTATTCCAGTTTAATATGCTGCAGTCTAATTGACTTTATAGGGAGTTAAACGTTTTGTCTTGAAGAGGAATGACATGAATGTATAAAGGGGCAGTCTCATTTCTGCCTTTGTCTGCTAATATTTTTTCGATGCTCTTTCAAAATACTTGACACAGTTGGAGAGATATCATGAAAGTAGTTAATAACCTTCGACTAGGTGCTGCTAGTCAAATTGTTTCTCTGTCCCCATGAGACACAGACTGCTGTACATTTTGCATGTCTGTTCAACTAATTACTTAGGATTTATTCATTCCAATGTTTGTTGATAAAACAAATCTTCTTCTTGTTGCCAGGGGATTCAAAGCATTAAAACAAACAGTTAAGCTTTATTATCGATTGGTGAAATATAAAGAAATGATGGAAGCATATAGGGAGATGCTAACGTACATCAAATCAGCAGTGACTCGAAATTACAGTGAGAAATGCATAAACAATATCATGGACTTTGTTTCTGGATCGGCTAGTCAGAACTTTGGTCTCCTTCAAGAGTTTTATCAGACCACTTTAAAGGCCCTTGAAGAGGCAAAGAATGAGGTTGGAATTCTTCATCATAATCTTCTTTGCGCCCTTTATGTCAAGATGTTTGCTTACACGTTCTCTTGTTCTACAGAGACTTTGGTTCAAGACAAACCTTAAGCTTTGCAAGATTTGGTTTGATATGGGTGAATATGGGCGGATGAGTAAGGTACCTTGTCTAATTCATTTTCTACTTCACTTTTTTCTTTTCTTTTTTTATCTGCAGTACTGGTTATGTAATTGATTAATTGTACGTGACAGATTCTGAAGGAACTCCACAAATCTTGTCAAAGAGAAGATGGTACAGATGATCAGAAGAAAGGTAGCCAGCTTTTGGAAGTCTATGCAATTGAGATTCAAATGTATACTGAAACCAAGAATAACAAAAAGCTCAAGGTAAGGATTTTCCAATGTTTAGTTTGTGTTTCTGCTTTTGTATTTAGAACTGGATGAGGTAGTCTATACTGTAATAATTGCATTGAGCTTTCCTAATCTCTGTGAGAATTTTATACCAGTTAAACAAACATGTGTGATTGACTATTTAAACAAATATGTATGATTGACTATTTTCGAGCACTGAGGGTTTTTCTTTTCTTTTTTCTTTTTCCTAGTGCTTTGACCATATGCTTTTGTGAATTTGTGAAACGTAGAGCTATATTCATGCAACAGTTAATTAATTATTTTTTCAGCTGATAACATGAAATTTGAAATTTGATAAGAACTTGGCTTAGAGGATAGGTAACTTTATGAGCTAATGTTCTGCTTTCATACGAATATATTGCTTGTTTTTAATGAAAAATAAAGGTTGCTGAGAGTCATATTATTGTTAATGTTGCTGATCTAATTTTCACAATCCACACTTTAGTTTTTCTGTTTGTTTAACTTAACATACTTGTTTTATGATGATTTAACAGGAGGATTAGATTCTTTTGATTTTCTCATTTAATTGTTTTTATGAAACGTTTCCAGCAATTATACCAGAAGGCACTGGCTATCAAGTCAGCAATTCCACATCCAAGGATCATGGGAATAATCCGAGAATGTGGAGGGAAGATGCATATGGCAGAGCGTCAATGGGCTGATGCAGCAACCGATTTTTTTGAAGCTTTTAAGAACTATGATGAAGCTGGGAACCAGAGACGCATACAATGCTTAAAGTATGTCTTATTCTTCTTCTATTATTTCTTTTCTTGTATTTTATTCTATTCCATGTCATCATCTTCTCTGCCTCCCTCGAAGTATCAATTTGGTTTTGTTTCATCTACATCTTGACTCCTCAAAAGTCTCAGTTATAAGCTTGCTATTTCAGGCTTTCAGCTATATCAGTTCTTTTCATCCTGTTTTTCTACATGCTACATACAAAATTTGGTTTGTTGAGCGCAACAAAATGAATGCAAGATATTTTACCCCACTTATCTGCACTCCAGGAAAAAGAAAGAAAGAAAAAGGTCAATTGGAAATAAGCTTTGAAGTTACAAATTAGTAAAACTCACCTAAAATCCAGATGTGGGAAAGAACTATCATGGCATGCCTTACTAGTTCGCAACATCTGGATGCAAGTATAAAGTAACAAAATGTGGATTGGAAATTGGGTTTTATACATCATCAATGGGACATGTCATCATTTGGGAGGTTTGATATATCTTTGCGTTTACACTGCATCAATAGGCTATCACGAATGAGATTTCTGCTTGGCTTAGAACTGCTTTTTTGCTATTCTTATCATCATATAACCATTTAATCATCATGGTTGACAGATACCTAGTTCTAGCTAATATGCTGATGGAATCTGAAGTTAATCCATTTGACGGTCAAGAGGCAAAGCCGTAAGTGCATTTGTAGCATATACTGGACTACAATTTCAAGATATGGTCTTATTTTTTCCCTCCTGCTTGTGCTTTCTCTAATGTTCATTACATTTCAGATATAAAAACGACCCTGAGATTTTGGCAATGACAAATCTCATAGCTGCATATCAACGAAATGAAATATTGGAGTTCGAGAAAATCCTTAAGGTATGATAAATGGACTCTTTGAGTGTAATTATAACTTTACACCTTGGTAAAGTTTTTGTTGTTCCTCTGCTTACGTTTGAGTTGTTCCTTGGGCTTTCTTCAGAGTAACAGAAGGACAATAATGGATGATCCGTTCATAAGAAATTATATTGAAGATCTATTGAAGAATGTGAGGACTCAAGTCCTACTCAAGCTTATAAAACCGTATACAAGAATCAGGATTCCTTTCATATCAAAGGTGAATGCCACGGTTTCTTCTTACTGTTGCACTATTGTGTTCAATTACTGCAATACTGATGATGTTTAAGTTTCAATGTTATTATTTTTTGAGGATCTTAAGACTTGACTGAGAACTTTAGCTGGATTGAGATTTTCTAATCATATATCTTTTGAGCTTCTATTCCCTGTGAAATTACAAAATTGTTTGACTGGCAGGAACTCAATGTGCCAGAAAAAGATGTTGAGCAGTTGTTAGTTTCTCTGATATTGGACAACCGCATTGATGGACACATTGATCAAGTGAACAGGCTGTTAGAGCGTGGTGACAGGTAAAGTTTCTTCTTGTTTCTTTATGCCCTGATTTACTCTTTGCTTGGCAGCTGAAGTTGCATCTTCATTATAGTTGTGCAAAAATGTTAGCCAACCATCTTCGTCACTGTCAAATGTCATGCAGGTCAAAGGGAATGAAAAAGTATACTGCCATTGAGAAATGGAACACACAGCTTAGGTCTCTTTATCAAACCGTCAGCAACCGGGTGTATTGAGATTGTAGCAGTTTGTATGATTTCCCTTCAAGTTAGGCACTCTGGTTGTATCAGTATTTTGGTGGATTCAAGCGCAAACTTTTTCTTCTCGTTTGTTAGGCCTGAGTGTTAGAGAAGCTGCTGCTGAGTTTGGTCCATAAATGAGTTTTACGTTTAACAGCGATACATTTTGAAGAAAAAATGTGAGTGGAGAATGTATAAATCTATAGCCTACTGATAATTTTTTTACTGAGAAAATTCAAGTCTTACATGGCCATATTCAGACAGTTTTAGAGCTTTTAATTACCTTTTTATTTGATTGTTTATTTGTTTGTTTTTTGTTCTCCTTATTTTCTCGTTGCTGCCTCTGGCCTTTGGTTTCGACGTCAGTGGTGTGGTAGTTGGGACCAAACAGAGGATCTTAGGAGTGTCATAAGCTATAATGGATTGCTGAATGGAGATGCTCACGTGTGGCCTGTGTCCTTTAGTTTTATGTTTTGCATTTTGTGCATGCCTTAAAATCTGAACAGCAAGTTGATGTATAGTTGAATCACAACAGAATCAGTATTCTCCAACTAATGCCTAGTGTCTCCTGGAACCTGGTAAAGCGCATCTGCATCTTAGCTTGTCACTGTTTCTTTGAAAGGAAAGATAAAAAGGATGGGGACGATGTGTGCCTACGTCGATAACAAGTACAGAAAATACCGATGGTAACTTTGGCCGTACCCATTGCATGCGGCAATAATACTAGGCTGCTTAGAGGGTTTAATGATGAAGCCAAACACGACTTTAAACGTCACTGCTGCACAGCCTAAGCTAGGACGTGGGTGCCTTGTTTGTTTCTCAAGGAATCTTCTAGTTTTCCCTTGTTGGTTTTTACCAAAACTGTTACCAGGGTCAGTTTGGGAAAGCAAGAGGGTCCCTTTCAGAAACATTCCGTCCTTTTTGGATCATCCATGTTACTTGTCTATGATCCTATCTACATAAATTAACTAATGCTAGTCCAGAACCGTACCTATCTATCGAATATAGTCTTGTGTATATTAATTTCCTGGAAAGAAGAGAAGAAATTAGAAAACGTAGAAATGTATACAGTACCATGATAGTGCTAGGAAACGTATGGCTACATTTGGCCCTAAAATAAAAATGGCTAAATGCTTGGACATGACATTAGCTGGCGTTTGTTGATAGTTTAGCCATGTCCCATTCGAGGACTGCTGGGCCATGTTCTATATGATCACATAAATTACTTTGTCCTAGCCACGCTGTATCTTTCTTGGTTGTGGTTGAAAACCCCTTTTGGTCCATTAACAATGACCTTAAGCAACTTTGTTAAGAATAGGGAAAAAGATGTCCTTATGTGTTCTTTACCCTACAAAATAACCTGCAAAGTTTTTATACATATCAATACTGGATGTGCAGATATACTTATTATATATCCAATTGTTTTTCATACCGAATGCATATCTAAAATGATTTGTTGTATTTATGTCAAAATCAAAATGTATATTTATAAGTGAGATTTTTCAGATAAGAAGGTAAAAAAGCATAATGGCTAAATCTTTTTCTTACAGTTTAAATCAATGGTCTTGAAATTGAAGTAATTCTTTCTTAAAAACTAGATGATTAGATAGTTCTTGTCCATTAACTGTTTTTCTATCTTTTCAAAAAAACATTAGGAAATAATATGGGTTTACTTGTTCGAATTTTTTTATTAAGATCTTTTATGATTTTTCAGTTTAATTAAAACCTTCTATTTTTATAAATTTAGTGATTCAAATCCTCTAATAAATTTTTTTATTATTTATTTTTCTTTTTTTTTACGAGTTATGGTTGTAAGAAATATGGCTTGATGTTATGGCTCATATTTTTTGTAAGCCCATATTGAGTTGATTTAGGAATTTCTTAATTTAATAGTATGTTAAATCTGGATCGTTAATTTAGTACTTGATGGACATACAAGATTTAATGTTAACAGGTATATAAACTAGTACTCTCTCTATCCTAAAAAGATATGTAGATAAAATATAAAAAAATACAAAATGTATGTATTTGACTATCCATCAAGCTACCTGTTACATAAAAGAGGAGTAAGGGAGAGAAACTAATTTATAAAAACACTCTTTTTTCTCACGCTTCTTGCTGTTAACCGTTGAAGAAAAATAAAATTTAAAACAGAAAACCTGATTGTGTTAACTTTTTTTTATTGAAAAAAAAAAAAGGAACCAAACCAACAATCATTCTCATAATTTTTGCAAACCACTTGATTTGATTTTGACATCCGGTTGTTTGTTTTCTATGTTTTTCTGAATAAAAACAAACAAGTTTTTTGTGAATAAAAACAAACGGTTTTTTTCTTTTTATTGTCAAATTTGGCTTTTAAAAACATAAAAAGAAAAAAAAATTGATATCAAATCAAAATTTTATATTTTTTTATCCCAAATTTCAAAGAATTTTGAGCAACAAAATAAAATATTTTTTTAGTGTAATATTACAATAAAAAAAAAATCAAGGTTACGATGATCTGAAACCACAAAATATATTTGATCGGACCAAGCCTACGTGGGTATAAACATTATATTTTAATAGCTAGCTAATCTAGTGATGATTGCTTATCCGATGGAGGGTAGAAGGGTTCCAAACCTCACAAAATCAATGAGATGCCTTCGGAGTTTCTTTCTTTCAAATATTTTAAAACAAAATAGAAAATTGGATTGTTTCTATTTTTTTTTAAATTGAAATAAAAAGAAAAACCAACAATAATAATCACTCTCAAAACTTTGTAAAGCCACTTAATTTAATTTTGAAATAATTTTTTAAAAAAAAAAAATGAAAAAACAAACAAATATTTTCTTTCTAGTTTCAAAATTGGTTTTTTAAAAACAGAAAAATGAAAATGAAAATAATATCAAACGACTACTGAAGCTTCCATGTTTTTCAATCTCTAATCTCTAAGAATCTTGAACCATAAAAATGAAATAATCCTTGATTATTATATTATAAAATTAAGATTACGAGAAATCGAAACCACACCATATATTTGGTCAGAGAAAACCTACTTTGCATATAAACCTTACATTTTAACAAGCTACGTAGCTGATCTGATCTGCTGATATCTTCCACGTTTGAGAGTAAAATGGTCCCAAACCTAACATGAGCAACGAGTGATAGACATACGAGAGAACAATAAATGTCATGTAAGTACAAAGTACGAGGACGATATGAAGCAAAGATTTCTAGAACTTTCAAAAGCATGGCAGAAAACAGACAACACCAAATAAGGAACGAGAGAAGGAGAGCAACAGACAGTCATGAAATGGGCTTGTCGTTATGTCATTACTTTTTTGTATTTTAACTCAGGAAATGGAAGTTTTTCTGCAGGTTCAGTCCAACCACTAATCTCAACCACGACAAGGACGGCTCACATGCATGGGGCCAGCCTCCCCTGTTTTCCTAAATGACAATTTACACGAGTAACACACCATTAATAACTTATTATTACTATCATATGATAAATATATCAAGTAGCTATCACACATTAAAAATAAATAAATAACCTTGTACGGACGATTGTGTTAATATTATTTTTCTCATAATATTTGATTGCGTGCACCCAATTGTTTTTATTTGATGATCCCACTTCCAGTATCATGTTCTTTAAAAAAAATTAATCTAAGTTTTATTTGGGCAGTTTTCGAATGTCAACTCATCGAGACTTATTATGTCCTTTGAGTTGTGATTTAGTTAAATCATCCATATATATATATATATATATATATATATATATATATATATATATAGTTTTTCTTTTGTTAATATCATCTTCCATCTTTATATAATAAATTAAAATTTCAATCCAATCACTAAAAAATATCATGTCATCGACTTCTTCTTCTTCTTTTTTTTAATAAAAATACCCCTTGTATTTTAAAAAATCATCCATATTTGGATTTTTTTTTTTTTGAACTACCTCTGACAAAGTTATTTTTCCCCTTGTTTTAAATTCCTTCCATTTTAGAAATCCGAGCAAAATGAAATTCTATGTAACTAAATCTGAACTTTTTTTATTATTATTTCTTTTAACCCTTATTATTATTATTATTTTGAATTATTTGCATATTTTACTAAGTCTCTTTCTGAAACTTACTTTAAATAAGGTCTCTAATTTCTAGTCTAATCATCAATAAATTTCTTTCTAGAAACACTTAGATTCCAAACCCAGATGGCATCTTAGCAAACCCAACTCGGATATTTTAAATTGCAGGTGAGTTAAAACATGAAAGAAGATATTAGGTGAATTTTCCTGGTACTAGTTACCAGCAATCACCAACAATAGATGCTCTCATTATTATCATTAAAAGACAAGTATCGATGTAGACATGTAGTTGGAACTTGTAATAAGAAAAAGTATCGTGGTAAAATTAAGACAAGAAGTAGAGGGGTAAGGCAAACATTTGTCTGGTTGCACAGGAGAGGATCATCATCAACAAGATTACTATTATTTCATCGAAAAGCTCTCATTTACTGCCGTTTTCTTTGCTTTTCTCTACCCTTTCAGTCATCTCAAAAGTCAATTTAAAAGAGAGAATTGCCAGCCAGCCTTTCTTCCTTATCTCTCTGTCGCTCGATCACCATATGTAAAAGTATATCCTCTGTCTCTCCCTCCCTCCCTTAATTCCCTTTTAATCATTGATTATTTTAATAACCATTATTTATCCATAGCGTAAGACATGTTTCCTGTGTTGAACTTGCTTTGAACCTCGTCTTTCACTGTTTTGCTGCTTTTTTCTCTCTACACAGCTAAAAGCTTCTTTCTTTTCATCACCGTATGAGACTTTTTTGTGCTTCTTCTTCTTCTTCTTCTTTTCTATTACGTTAGTTCTTGTGAAATTTGATTTTGGTTTTTGTTTTTAGAGGTGGGAATTTGTAAAGTTGGCAAAAAGTTGTTCTTTTTGGAGTTTCTTGTACTTCAGTTATAGTTCTTTTTTTTCCCCCTTTTTTTAATATGGTGTTTGAGAGAGAGATTCTTTTTTGTTGTTTTAAATTCAGTTTTTATTTGTTAATTATTAACTATTAAGTATTCATTTAGGGGCTTATATAAGCAGTCACTTACTGACTACTGAGTTGTTTCTGGTTTAAATTCCATTTCTGTGGGAGTGCTGGTGGCTCTGGGTTGAGTTGGATTTGAGGTTAAATTCACTTAATCTTAATTTGGTTGTCTTAACTGTTTCTGTCATAATCAGTGAAGACATTTTATGTTCTTTGTGTTCCCACTTTAAATTATTCAACTTCGATTCTTGTTTATTATTATTATTATTTTTTTTTTTGTTTCACGTCCTCTCTCTGGGTTTTATTTCTGGTCTGATTTTGATTATGTTTGGCAGTCTGATCTACTCCTTGTAGTGGTAGAATGTCAATTAGGCAGGCTGTTTTCTAGCTTCTCACTGGTCATTATCACTTTGGATTAGTTTGTTTGCTTTCGCATTAGGTTGTTGTTGTTGATCTTTTCTATATAGTTTTGCTTTGTTGTCTACCACGCTGTAAGTTCCTTGTCTTCCCTTGGGACGAGGTCAATTTTAATCTGCAATTGAGCTAATACTTTATGTAAGGGTTTTTGATTGGGATGATAAAAGTGAATTGCAGTCTTCCCATAAGAGACTCCCAATGATAACATCACTGGTTGTGGGTTTTTAATCAGTTATGAAATTTCTTGGAGCTTGAAATATACATTATGAGTTTTTGAAAGCAAGTTGTGGGAATATACAGCATAAATATAAGGATGAAAAGTTGTTTATTTCAGTTTTTGATTTCCATAATTTCCAGATTTGTAATGCAAAGTTGCAAACCTTAAAATTGTACAGACCCTGCCAAGTCTTGACCATTTCAGACAATGTAGGGATATGCTCGATAAATTCTATGTTTGTTCAAATTTTGGTAGTTATTGGTCTGGCACTTAACTTTCTTATGCATTTCAGGAAGAGTTTGAAGTTTGCAAGACTGCAAGGATAAGAACGTTGAACCCGTAAACGAAGCATGAGTCAACCTAAAATTAAGCGTAGAGTTGGTAAATATGAAGTGGGAAGAACAATTGGCGAAGGAACATTTGCAAAAGTAAAGTTTGCAAGGAATTCTGAGACAGGGGAACCTGTGGCTCTGAAGATCCTCGATAAAGAGAAGGTTCTCAAACACAAAATGGCTGAACAGGTCTGGTTAGTCAATTCCTTTTTTTTTTTTTTTTTTTGGGCAAATTTTTTGTTTCTCACTGCTTTATGTGTCTCAAGAGAAACTCATACAACAGGCATGATCGAACATTATCTGTTTTTGTGTTTCTATTATTTTCTCCTGTGCTTCTGAAAGCTTTTGGCCTTCCCCCCTAGGAACTTATTTTGTTATATATATGCTACCACCAGAAAAGGAAAAGGTGTTCCAATATTGTCAGAAGAACTTCTTACATGATCATGTTACATTTCTAAAATGTTGCTTGTGTTCTTACAGATCAAGCGGGAGATAGCGACAATGAAGCTTATAAAGCATCCAAATGTTGTTCAATTATATGAGGTCTCTCTCTCAGTCTTCAGCATTAGTATATCATAAGCTATAAGTAGTATGTTTATCTATAAAATTAGTACTCCCTTACATCCTTCTCGACGATGTCAGATTTTCTGGTTCTTTCCTCACATGCATTTGGCTAAAACTATAAGCAGTAATTTTGCTCAATATACATTTTATCCCTGTTTTTCCATACAAGTTTAAGTTCTAGCATTACTGTACAGAATGCAGGAAGGATTGTCCGTATGGAAATAGTGACTAAATCGAGCATGCTTGTATAATTTATCTCAAATGAAATTTAATTTATGGAATGATTGTTCGGTTTGACCATGTGATTTATTTTATTTTATTTTTTCCTATTTTAGCCTCAATCTATTGAACTGTATTTCAAACGTCAGAAGCAATCTTAATTCTGTGCTATTCAAAATATGATAAAAACTGTCTAAGCTTAATCAGAAAAAAACATTGATTTTCAGGTGATGGGAAGCAAGACAAAGATATTTATTGTTTTGGAATTTGTTACTGGGGGAGAGCTTTTTGATAAAATTGTAAGTTGTGTATTGTTGTTCAAACTTATTTTAATTCTCTAGTTTATCCTTAGAGTTATGGAAATTATATGTTGGATGCTATTACAACCACTAGAAATTGGTTATATACCTGTTAAGGCCATTCTTGCACATTGTCTCCTTATCATTGACAAGTTACAATCTTAGGTACATTTTTGGTGCTTTTTTTGGTTTATAATAATGCAATCCCATGGTGATTGGACCCACAATTTGAAAGGACTGGAAGTTTCTTTTGCTCGTGTCTATTCTCAGACCAATTATGGAACATTTCTTTGGATGTAATATTTTTCTCTTTTAATTCTACGAAGGTAAACCATGGACGGATGAGAGAAGAGGAAGCTCGGAGATATTTCCAGCAGCTTATCCATGTAGTCGATTATTGCCACAGCAGGGGTGTTTTCCATAGAGACCTTAAGGTACTCAAACTATAATCACCCTGCAACATGTGAATGAGTGGTTTATGCGCATATTTTGTTCATCACGTGAACCATAAGGGGATAAAGCGGTTGTTCTCACCTCATAAACTTCATTGTCCTCTTGTTTTTTAATTGTGTGTTGCAGCCAGAAAATTTGCTGTTGGATGCTCATGGGAACCTCAAAGTTTCAGATTTTGGATTGAGTGCACTGTCCCAACAAGTCAGGGTAACTACCATCAAATCTTCATCTCAGTTCAAGTCTTTATTGACATTACAGCTAGTTAAATCCCATTATGAATGGTATCAATTTCATTGGTTCAAAATATGACCTTAATAAAAACAGGCTAGGCCATACTGAAGCTTATGTATAAGGAAGAGGCTTATGCTATGTTTATTCTCGAATACATGCTTACCCAATAAAAATAGGTCTGACAGTGACAGAAGTTAATCCTGTATAAGGCTACTAATAAGAACTATTGCCTTACAATTATGAATTTCAAAATGCATTTGTTTCTTCTCTCTGTTTCTGGGTTTGGATCAATCTAGATTCTTTTTTGTAAATATTTTTGTCGTTCTTTTAAGGCCGGTCTGTGACTCTTGCAAGGAAAGCATTCTTTCTTACTAACAGGTTTATTTGGCAGGATGATGGCCTGCTTCATACAACTTGTGGAACTCCAAATTATGTTGCTCCTGAGGTTTGAAGACTGTATTTATGCCATAGTTCTTGACAATATATGTTGCCTTTTAAGCCTTTGACTCTTTTTTTAGCTCTGATTATTTGCTGTATTGCTGTTTAGGTTCTTAATGATAGAGGTTATGATGGGGCTACTGCAGATTTGTGGTCATGTGGAGTGATACTTTTTGTACTGCTAGCAGGGTACTTGCCTTTTGATGATTCTAATGTTATGAACCTGTATAAAAAAGTGAGCATTTTACAAATTTGATTGCACTGCTATCCTCTTTTCCCTGTCGTCTGGTTTTCACTTCACTTCCGCCATTTGCAGATTTCAGCAGCTGAATTTACTTGCCCCCCTTGGCTCTCTTTTGGTGCCATGAAATTAATAACTAGAATTTTGGATCCCAACCCTATGACTGTAAGTAGTTGTGCTTGGTTATTCTTCCTTGCTTGACTTCCTGGTTATAATACATTTCCTGCATCTTAGAATGGAAGAAAAAATAAAGGATTTCTACAATAACTAGTGATTGACGACTCTTCTTTTCAGAAAAGTAAGCGAGAGAAGTCTACCATAATTTCTCTTCTTAGATGCTATCAAAATTTGATCAAAATGAATCCCTGAAATTTATATATGATGAATCACTGCAAACAATGGCATGTGCATTTTAATTTATGTTTATTCTTTTTTGTCATTATTCGCATAGGGAATAGCTGCTCTTATGTTTTTGCCTTGTTGGATTCCAATGTTGTCATAACATTGTTGTTGGACAAATACAGTCTATATAGTTAGCATGCTAATTTGTCTAATCTAACTTTAAATAGAACTTTTACGTAAAAGCTTCCCAAATTCTAGGCATGTGAATATTGTATAACTGAGATTGGATCTTCTGGAGATTTGGTCAGTTAGCAGAGTCGGGACACTGAAAGGTTGTTACTGTAGTGGATATCATTAAGATGCCTGGACAGCTTCTATAATCTGCAAGTGGTGTGTATAAAGTGCCATGATGTTTACGCTACCTAGGTCAAATCTTGCTTCCGATTATATGTGGACTGCTGATGCATTGGCTGCATCGAGCATATACTGTTAGACCTGCTCTTTTAAGTATGCTCAACAAGTCTGGGCTTAAAATACTTACATTGGCCTCCATGCATAAAAAAAATTAACAATAGTCAGAATATATTGTTTTATAATTTTTTCAATTTACTAATTGTTTTTACGGCAGCGCATCACCATACCTGAAATCCTGGTAGATGAATGGTTCAAGAAAGGTTATAAGCCTCCTGTGTTTGAAGAGAAAGAGGACACCAACTTGGATGATGTTGAAGCCGTTTTTAAGGACTCAGAAGTGAGTTTAAGATGAGTTTTTTATACTCGTACCAGCGAAAAAAAAAAAAAAAAGAAACGCACAATTTGAAGAAACTGCAACAATTTCTGGTACTTCTTGACAATGTTGTTTTCTAAAGCATACTGTTGTCATTGCAACAGGAACACCATGTGACAGAGAAGAAGGAAGAAGAGCAACCAACAGCTATGAATGCGTTCGAGTTAATTTCTATGTCCAAAGGACTAAATCTTGGGAATTTGTTTGATGGCGAACAGGTTTGTTTGTTGAAAGGCCTTTCTTTTATGTTATACCTTTAAAGTCTGATTTGTTCTATTCCTGTTGGATAATGCATGTCTTACTGCAAGTACATCAAACATCAGCTTCCTGCTTTTGTGGAAGTAAGAGATGATGTAGACATATTGTTGCATTCTTACACTGATATGGTCTGTAGCCAGGGGAGAGGGTGTGTGTATCTTTGGTGTTGTGTCTGCATGTTTCTCCTTGTTTCCCTTGTCATTTGAATATTTCAGAGATACATCCACTTGCAAAATCATTGAACGAAAAAAATGATGCATATAATATATGTTATCACCCTCGAAGGATGAATCAATGTTTTAGAGGATTAAGCACTGTCTGGTACTGCAACGAGACTGTAGTTCTTTCTGTGTTTTTATTCATTCGAGGGGCAAACAAGAAGATGGTTATATTGTTTCTCAAATTCCTCTTGGACAATAGAGATATCCAGCTTTGTCAATTATAGTGAGAGATTATAATGGACCATGAGATTAGAAGTCTCTGTTGTGAAAGCAGTTTTACTTCTGCATTATCAACAACGTAGCATTGGCTGCCTAACAGCATCTGCATGGTTCAAATGACGATGTCTTTCGTAGGTGAGAATAGGCCATATGATAGGTTTATACTGTCAAATTTTTTGGGATTCCCTTAATACTGAAACTTGTATGCTCGTGATTATGTGACTTGCAGCCAGAATTTAAGAGGGAAACAAGGTTCACATCTAGATGCCCTGCCAAAGAAATAATTCATAAGATCGAAGAAGCTGCAAAGCCCCTTGGTTTTGATGTTCGCAAGAAAAACTACAAGGTAACAAATGCATGAGATATTCTTTATTTTCATTTGCTAATAGTAAAAGGGTCCGAGGTGATGCTTAAGTTTATCCTTGTCTTTCTCAGATGAGGCTTGAAAATGTGAAGGCTGGGAGAAAGGGAAACCTTAATGTTGCTACCGAGGTCTGCGATAAACTTACAGTGAAACTCACTAATACTGCCACAGTCAATTCCATAGTCATTTTTTGGTATTAATTCACAGTTTATTACATTTCTATCAGATATTTCAAGTGGCACCTTCGATTCATATGGTTGAAGTGCGTAAAGCAAAAGGAGACACTTTGGAGTTCCATAAGGTGTAGTTTCCTTCTCTTCTTTTTCATTTAATTCATCCACCTGCGTCTCTCTCTCTTTAAATGAAATGCTACTTGACAACCAATTGATAATACATGATTTTTCACTATAATACTATAAAGAGGATATTGGCAATGTCCTTAGATGATTCCTCAAAATTGGCTGTTACTTAATCAGAATGTTTACTATTTGTTATATGCTGTTCAAGTTACATATGATTTATATTTTCATCTTTCTTGTTGCTTTTCTTCTGCAGTTCTATAAAAACCTTTCAACCTGCCTTGACGATGTTGTCTGGAAAACTGAGGAGGATATGCAAGAAATGAAGTAAAAACTGTGCAATTTTGAAGGGTTATAATTACTTCTGTTGATGGTACCAACGCAAATGTGTCATTCTTGTCCAACATCTTCATTCCTTCTGTTTCTTTCCCCCATCTTCCTGGAAATATTTTCTCATTTCCATAGAATTAGGCCGACATGGCTTCTCCATTTGTTTTCCTTGTTATTAATGTTGGGAAACATGGACGATTCTCTTAGTCTTGTTTGTTTTTCTCTTCAATAGGATTGTCATGGGGTGGTTTGTTTTCCTCTTCAATAGGAAGATTTCAAATTAATGGAAGTACTGTATATGCTCTCTTTTCATCATTAATTCTGTTTTTTTCACAAAAAATTATTCTTAGTCAAAGGTTGTGTTTATTATTATTTCCTTTCTCCATGTTAGTTTCTTGGTTCTCCTGTACAATTTTGAAGTTCTAATTGGAACGGTTTTCCTTCCCCAAAATTCGAGCCATCAGTTTCTCTGTTTCATCGCTGGCCTAAGGGAAGTATGTAAATTATTCATATTATTGTGTTCTTTTTTGCTTCTCTTTTGTGGGAAATGTGTATCTTTAATCAGTGTTATCATTAACTTTGATTGAAAGAAAGGTTCCCTCTGGTTGGAAGGAAAGTTTGATTGTATCAGACAGAGTTACAATCATGGCTGCAACTGGAATTTCTTCTGTCTAAAGTCCACACAACAAAACCATTTTATATATGCCAGGGGTAAGTACTAGATCTCCATCCTAGAAAAGAACAATCCCAGCCAGAAAAGAACAATGTTGTTTCCAATTTGTTTTGTCATTAATGTATGCCGGGAAAGTTATGTAAGGAATGCAACGTTAATGACTGAGAGACTATCCTACTGTTTCTGTGACGCCCCAATTCTAATCCGATGTGAAATCATAATAAAAGACTAGAGTTTTAGGTTATTGGTAGTACATTACTCAGAGTTTTCGTGCACTACTCAAGTCATGATGCTTCACAGAACTTTTTTTTTTTTTTTTAATTCGATGTGGGATTGAAACATCACCTTTTGGGGTTTGCATCAAGTTAATCAATTTTAATACATTCAAAGTAAAACTTTACCTTAAAAATTGCTGAAATTTTGTTTCTTGTTTTTAACAACATTAAAACTAGATTGTTCTCAGGATCTTTGAACATTCTTGATTAATATTCCATTTAAATAATGTTTCATAAATATTCTTGATTTTATAATGTTAGAGCTGGTGATCCTTCAAGTATATTATAATATCTGTTAACGTGCAGGCAATGGTACCCATATTCAACTATTAAAATCTTGAGTTCAATTTGATGCAACAAATTGACCATGTAATAGAGATAGAAGAAAAAATTGTTTATAAATAAGGCTGTTAATATGTCGGATTCAAATCGGATTATAGTAGATTTAGATCCGATCAAATCTTATGAATTCGAATCAAATTTTGAAATATAAATTTGGATTTGGAGTTCTATCAGATTTATGACTTGGTTTTTGTAAAAAAATTATACTTACTATATTTAATATATTACTTGAATATAAAATATATTAAAATAATATTTCATCTATCAATTTTATAAAAAATTCAAAATGCCACACAATTTAAAAGCTCAAAAATAAATAATCTTAATAAAAGTTTGTTTTGAACTAGGTAGAAAATACAATAAAACTAAAAGAAACAAATATTAAATAATTTTTTGCAAAAAAAGAAAGAAAGAAAAGAAAATCTATTAAATTATCACATATTTTTAATAATTGGTTAATGCACAATGTAATGAGTTAAGTAAATAAAATATAGATTTTTTTGTTTTGATTTGAAAGTCAATCACTTGTAGTAGTTATTGCCTCTACAATCTTTGGAGGTAAAGATACATAATAATTATCAATAACTCTACATCTTATACTGAATTTTTTCTAAGATGTGAGTCAATATGGATCAAACTTAAAACATATAAATTATAGCCTCATCTCTTAGCTTTAACTAGTTTTTTGCTCGCGCCGGACTACGGGTTTGATAAAATATATAAAATCGTTTAGAGAAATCATTTTCGTTTGATAGTTTGTTTTATGGTTTGAATCTATAAAAATATATAAAATTAAAAGTGAAAAAAATTATTTATAATTTTTTAATCAAAAATTTTGTATTTAACTATTTCTTATTTGTGTTTTTCATAATTTTTCCTTTAAAAAAAGGATTTATCCTTGTTAATCCATGGATTATTAACTAAAAAAGTTAAATAAAATTTTTTTAAAAAAAGCTTTAGTAATTTATAAGATTATGTCGAAAAACATAAATAACAATTATTAAAAGCTTATACATAATTGAAAATTCTTTATTTATTTAATGTTGATGAGAATATCGATTTTTGAAAAAATGTTAATTTAATTTTTATATATTTATTTATGAAAGAATGAATAATATTAAAATAAAAAACTATATTAATTTGAATAATCGAGTGGTTAAGCCAAAACATTATTTTAATTATTTAATTCAAAAATAAATGAATAAATAGTAAATGCTTAGTGTAGAAAAATAATATTATTAGAATATGATCATAATATTAATAACATATGACTATATTGAAAAAATAAAAAATTAAAGTAGTAAATTTTAAATAATAAAAATAATTAAAAGAAAACACTAAAACAAAATGGGACCAAATGACAATACAATTAAAGTTTGAAATTGAAAAAAAAAAGTATAGAAAAATTGAAGACCAAAATGCCAAAAAAAGACATGAATAATGATTTGTGAGTGTGTGAATAGTGTTTTAAATAATGAAAACGAATAGTAAAACTATGTTTTACTTTAGGTTTTTTAGTAATTTGCTACAAGAATGGTATGAATTAGTCTTATGTACATAAAGTAATATCCAAAATGCTCAAGCATGCTCGAATTAAGATTTTTTTTAAAAAAATTTATTTAGAAAGAAAGCCAATTGCACTAATCTTCTCCAAGTTGCCTTGATTTTTTTTTTATCAACCCTCTTTTTTATTCTCTTTAATTTTGCCCTGGTTCCAATCAATTGGTTTTTTCTTCTAGTCTTGTTTTTTTTTTTTTTTTTTGAGAAAAAATAGGATGATGAAAAATATAATAATACCAATTATTGAAAATACATATAAGTCAATTTATCATGAAATTGAATTAAGAAAATAAAAAAAAATTATATGTGATTTTTTTAAAAAAAAATACCGTCATCATGTGGTATGCGTTATTTGAATTTTATTATAAATAAACTTTAAATTTCAACATAGTTTCATATTTATATATTGATATTTTTTAATTTTTCAAATATTATATTTATTATAAAAATATTATTTTTAATTTCGGGTTAGATTATTATCGGATCGGATTAAGGTAGATCTGGATTTGATCTATTAAATAAACGGGTTGACAAATTCGAATAAAAAAATTGTTTTTTAGATCTATTTAACTATATCAAATTCGGATCGAATTTGGATCAAGATTTGATTCATTTGCAATCTTAAAAAAGTTAAAAAAAAAATTATAATAAATAAAGGAAACCGTTATCGCTATTGTATTTTATCGATATCCTATTCTTACATGAACGATGCAAATCAATTTAAAATTTGATTTAGCTCACATCGTTTTCGTTTATTTAATTCCATTAACGACTGAACTCAAGTTTATACCGGTTTGGTGTGAGCACAAAGATTTAAATGAATTTAAAAATACATACGAGGCGGCGCATGTTAGCTTGGTTTTCTACCTACGTTATCGTTTTGTATTCCTAATCATTTTCAGTTCGAATCAAATGGTTTTAATTGTATTAGATTGATTTTCCTAAAAAAAATATTTTTGTTATAAAACAAATAGAAATAATAGGAGAATTGAAGAAAAGGATGACAAGAAAATGAAATCACTATAATATGAATATAAGTGATAAGAACTTCAAAGTTTCTCTTATTCTCTCTAGGAAACTTATACACCAACTAATGAACAATCAAGCCTATTTATAGGCTTCAAAATTGAGGAGAGAATTAGAAAGGACTATGAATGATCAATTGCATCACCCTTTCAATTTCTCATATTGAATGATGAATTGAATCATATTAAGAATCATGAGTAGTGGGGATATGAAAAGTGGATGAACATGATGATGGACATTCATTATTTCATAACACTCCCCTTGAATGTGCATTGTACAAGGAACATGCCTCGTTAAAACCTTACTAAGAAAAAACCCGAGTGGGAAAAAAATCCTAGTGAAGGAAAAAGAGTACAATATTCCTTGCACACACTAATCTCCATTTTGGTCTCCCCTCGTTGAAGGCATTATTTAAGATCTCTAAGACAACGCATTCCAATCTTGTGAATCATCTTCTCAAAAGTTATGGTAGGTAACACCTTGGTGAACAAATCTGCTAGATTATCACTTTGATGTATTCTTCCTTTAATGGAACTATGCAAGCGGCATTATCTTCATATAATATTGTTGGAACTTCTTTTGCTGATAGATAAGCTGCATGTCTCTCGAATATGATGGATCGTTGATCTTAGCCAAACACATTCTTGACTTGCCTCGTGAATTGATATTTTCGCATGATTTGAAGATATTGTAGTCGTGGTTTGCTTCATAGGACGTCAAGATATAGTTGTATCTTCATATGTAAATATATAACCGAGTTGTGATCGAGCTTTGTGTAAATTAGATAAATAACATGCATCCGCATAGTCAATTAATCTTATATTTGATTTATTGGAATAATATAAGCCCATATCAATTATTCCTCGAATATAACGTAGTATATGTTTAACTTTATTTCAATGTCTTTATATTGAAACAGAACTATGACTTGCTTAATAAATTTATAGAAAAGACTATAACGAGTTGGATATTATTAGCAAGATACATCAATGCACCGAGTAGCACTAAAATATGGTACTTCGGGACCAAGTAGTTCTTCGTTATCTTTTCGAGGTCAAAAAGGGCCTTTTTGGATATCAAGTGAATGAACTACCATTGGGCTAGTCAATGAATGATCTTTATATA